ACGCGGCACGGGCTAGGTAGTTCGAACTAAAGCCCCTAATTCAGACTACTGTTACTCCTCCTGCAATGAGGAGTAACGGTAGTCTGAATTAGGGGCTTTAGTTCGAACTACCTAGCCCGTGCCGCGTGTAGCCGCGGGCACGGAGTTCGAACTACCGGACATGTAAAAATGGCGCACCCGGGAACATGCAAATAAAGCCCGGGATATTTTAATCCTGAGCTTCATTTGCAAGTTCGAATGACTACATTACCCACCCTAGTTCAAAGTAGCGTGGCTTGTGTAGACATACCCTGAGGGACAGAGTTTCAAATGATTTTCAGCACCCAAAGATGCAATTAGGCATCTTGTGGGGTTTCTAGCCACTTTTGAATACCTTTAAAAATCTGGCCATGAGGCTACGTGTGTCTGTACAATGGGGCATAACAGCACTGCTCTATTTCACTGAGAGACTGTGAGGAGGAATACTTTAGACCTGATACTCAAATACTATGATGATGGGGCCACATAAATACCACACGGAGAGCGGGAACTTCTCTGTATCCCTTGGTTTTAGGCTCTTCTTTTCACCCTCCAAAGCTCCCCATTTTCTGAATGTAACTGGCTCAGAGGATTTGGCTGTATTTTTCTGAGCTTCCTGTACTACCTAGAACAACTTCCCCCTCACTCCCCCTCCCATCACACAGCAAGGGCTAGTTTTCCAGACCTTAATGTAATCACTAGCCCTTTCTTATCTTAATCACTCTGCCTCGTGTCTACACTACAGAGTTCTATTGGAAAAACGGCCATTTTCCCGACAAAGCTTGAGGAATGTCCACACTGCAATTGCATTCTTCCACAAGAAAATTGAAAGAACAGAGGGGGTTTTCCGGCATTGGTAATCCTCATTCTATGAGGAAGAAGCCTTTTTGCGAAAGAGTTATTTTGCAAAAAGGCGAGTGTGGACGGGGAAGAGGGAGTTCTTCTGGAAGAAGAGAAAAGAGGAAAAAGTACAGGTGCCCTGGTGGCCATTCCATCCATAGCAATCACAGCTTACATGTGAGAGAGCATCCATTCAGTCTGGACACTATCTTTCGAAAAATCAGCTCACTTTTTCAATGCACTTTTGCAGTGTGGATGCTGTCTTTCGGAAGTTTTCTTAGAAGATCTCTTCCGAAAAAAGCTTCTTCTGAAAGAAGCCTGTAGTCTAGATGTACTCCTAGTCTGTAAACAAAATACTGGCTCCCTGACGCAGGTGTACCTCTCCTTTTCAGAAATTACATTTCACTAATTCTGTCCTGCAGTTAAGAACTCCTCTAGGGAGTTCCCATACCTCCTGTACAAAACCCAGCCTTTCTCCAGATGGCACTCCTTACTTAGAATGTGAGTAAGAGGAGTTTGAATCTGATACTGTGAGGGCCAGGAAATTAATAAAGGGATTAAAGGAACAACATGATATCGTTTGATTGAGAGAACATGAAAACAACTTAAATCATCTGAATTTTAGATAGCTTGAGAAAGGGTGGGAGAGATGAGAAGCAAAGATAAGTTAAATGTATGGTGACCAAGGTTAAAGTTAGTGGGTCGGTCCAGTGTTCCTATAGTTAGGGCTACCTACCTGCAAGTGAGAAATCCACCATCCCTTTTTTGTAGAGACACATGACTAGCCTGGGGATATTGGAAAAGAGCTGCCATTATTATCCTGCCCCAATCAGTCAGTGTTGGGAAATGATGATTGATTCAAAAAGATATTCAGTCTTGCCCTCCTCAATCAGATGGTAGACTGGAGACTTGAGAGGAAGTGAAGGAATAAATGGGGAGGAAAATTAGACTCCTTGGAGTCCAAGAGACATTCAGAGAACCCCTGGAACAAACCTGAAATAAGATATTTATTGTAAATTGTCTATGGCCCTAAGCCATCAGTTAATAGGTAAAGTTTTTCTCTTACGAGCTTTTTTTCAAAATATATGTTATTTCAGGCTTCTGTTTCTCCTTTGTGAAAAGGGAATAACACCATAAAAACATACATTATTTATTAATTTAAAAAGGAAAACAGAAGAATTGTTTAAACAGGAGGAAAATACATGTTTTTTTTCCTGCAGATTACGTGTACAGTGACACTACTGAATAATGTGTTCAGAAAATGAACAACTGAGTCTAGGATATTGAACTAAAATAACATTTTGATATATTTCAGCAATTTATAACTAATCTGGTCCTTTTATTGTTACATTTCATCTCAATTTAATTTTCAAAGGCACTGAAGTGCAATAAAAGAATCAGATAACGAGTCTTGAAAGTCCTTTCTTTCTCCTTATTTTTAAATGTGACTGTCATTTTAAAAAATGCAAAATCTCTGCCTACCTATTTAATTTCTTGAACAATGTTCCCAATGGCACTTCTGTATTGGACTTGCTGAAAACGCTTTGCTTGTTAGGGGAATTTGAAACCCAAGGATCTTGAGAGATATTTCCTGGCTGAGAAAATGGTAGAAACTGCCAAAATATTAGATATACAGAATAGTTAAAATTGATTTTATTATGTATAATGACATTTCACATTATATAACTATATTACCCATTTCGATTCTTTTGAATATTTTACAATAAAATTGAATGTGACAATGTCACTTCTATCTCAATGGGGGAAAACAGATTTATTTTGATACGGAAAAATGGAATACTGCTATTCATTTCCATAAATTGATTATGGAGGAAAACAGTCATCAGACTGCTTTATATAAAAGGCCAAATCCTGCTTGCTTTATTCACATAAGTGGCTCAACTGACTTCCGTGCAGCTCATATTTTAAGTACTGGCAGTTTGCCAGCTTACAAACAGAAGGCTTCAAATATCCATCTCTTATCCAATGCCATGAGAATAACAAAGGGACCTTAAGAGTTCTGCCTTCCTGAACTTGCATTAAGATGTAATCGCTAATACATATGTAAACATTCTTAATTCTATTAAAATATTTTCATTCATATATATATATATATTAGCAGGAAAACCTCCCTCAATTGCTATTGTATTTTCTCACATAATTTTTCACATCTAGAACAAAGTAAAACTACCAAATCAGATGGCCTAAGGCTAGACAACAGTCAATAATTGTCTTAAAATGGTATTTCAAAATATTGATTTAAGTTACAAGAAATCCTCTGGAGCAGGAGTTCACAAACTTCAGGGCACTGGCAAAATCTCAATAGAGAAATTGTGTAGGGAGTGTTGTGTGATCCCAAAAGACTGTACCGATTAACTTCCCCCAATTTGTATTCTCACAACACCCAATTACAGCAGTTGTTTATGTGGGAGAGTAATATGAGGAAAATATTTCATGTATTTTAACTGTCTTTACTTCAATGCAGTAGTAGGAAACAGAATAATCACACCATATTACCAGCCAGTTCTCCAAAGACACCAGCAAGGGCTCTACATGTAGCTCACAGGGCTTTCTTAGCCTTAACACTATTGTTATAGATTCAGGAGTAAAGCCTTAGACAAAGTTCTGCATCTTTACAGAATCAGGCTGGGTTTATTTTCAAACCAAGTATATATTTTTTAAAAAGTAATTTCACTCTAATTATTGCTTATACCAATTCCTATCCCAAAAGAAAAAAATCATTTAATATAATTTCTCTTAAAAAAACAACATATCAAACCTGTTTTCTCTGCTTCTCTTCATAGGTCAGTTCCCAAGGACTGCATGCTAGATTTGTCCTGAAATTTTGTTCTGGAGAGTGTTTGTAATCAGAAGACCAGGATACTGAAGAGGACACTGGATAGGAATTGCTGTCTGCTGCTAGATAGTGCTGATGTTCAAGACTAGAGTCTGTGCAAGTTGATTCTGTAACTTGTGATAACTTATGCAAAGCAAAATGGACATTTTATTTACCTAAAAATATTTTGCCCTGTTGGCCCAAGCTGGTCAGCATATAAAGCAGATTTGGTGAAGTGCCATGGGATATGCAACTACACAGATCCTGGTGGCGCTTACACCCAGCATAAGGAACATATAGTGGCAAGGTCTACACAGGTTGAACCTTTCCAGTTTGGCACCCTAAGGACCTGACCAGTGCTGAACCAGAGAATTTGCCAGGCCATAGGAGGTCAATATTGGTTAGCAACACTACCAACACTTCTACTGCTTAGTGGTCTCTTAGAAAACATTGAGGGCTAAATTAGAACTAAATAACAACACAGAACACTGAGAGTCAGGACTGGTGACTGTAAACAAATTTTACAGGACTTTGGGAAACTTGGCCCCACCCATGATAAGTGGACATCCAGCTAACTAAAATCATGCCAGACCATGAATGTTGCCAGACCAGAGTGTGTTGGACTAGAGAAGTTCAACCTGTAATGGTCAATGCCTTTGCATTGCAGTCTTGTGGCTAGCCAATAGGCTGGAGAATGTGAATCTTCAGCTCTACTCTCTCTGCTTAGTACTTTGTGCAAATCCCACTTTTTCAGGCTTTGTGGGGGATGGATATATTTCACCCAGTACAATTTTTTGTAATAGTTTTTCAGCCCAGTGCCTCCATTTTTGGATGTATACAAGCATGAAAATTCAAATAATGGTGCACACTTTTCAAAACAGCCTTATACCCGTATGTGCAGAGTGTTAGCAAGTCTTTGCACATACAAAGAGCAGGCACAGATCTGTACATGCAAATGGAAGTCAGGGAGAGGCCCATATGACAGTTTGCCTGAATGAGTTCTAGACATTCTATACCAGCCTAAAACATGGTCTCTCCATCTCCAACCAGTAGGAGGGATACAATTACAGTGGAAGACTTTTACTAAAGTAATGTGCTACAAGCTGTGATTTTTGTTAATGTTAAAATACATTTTCACAGCCAAATGTCTAAATTAGACTAAGTAATTTTCCTTTGCTCAAATAAAGAATTTAATCCTATCTTTCTTACTTTAACAAACTTGGCCCACCTATATGACTTTAGAATAATGGATCAAATTCTTCTCTAGCATAACTGCACTGAAATCAGTGGATTATGCCAGTAGAAAACTTGGCTCAATTGCTAGGTCTAGAGAGAGTCTCTCTCTTTATTCATTGAAGAATCTATGTTTAGTAGCTGCATCTGATTAATTTATTCAAAGGATGCTTTTCACAAAATGTGTTAAAAGTGTAACATTTCCACAGATCCAGTACTTTAAAATGTGCATTCTAAGGCCTTACACACACATGCACACACACACAAAGCAAAATAATTAGCTTTGTTGTGACACTCTGAAGACAACATAGTTTGGTTAGCCTAGGACAGTGGTTCCCAACCTTTTTTATACCATGGACCAGCAAACCTATTCATAAACTTTTGGTGAACCAGTAACATTTTATTTGCATATTTGCATATTCATTATGCAAATATGCCTCCTGCTCTGTCTTCTCCTGCTGCTGCCTCAGCCCCAGCACCACTGCTGGGCAAAATTGGCCACGTGGGCAGGGAAGTAGCCATTGGCAGAGTAGCGTGTCTCACACCCCATGGATAGAGAGAGGTGGAGGGAATGCGGGCCAGGCAACCATCTTACCTGGGTGGCAAGCGGGGAGGAGGAAGGGAGGTGCTTCCTGTTGCATCTCCTCTTGCTGCTGCCTCAGGCCCAGTTCTGCCACCAGGCAAAGTCAGCCACCATGGCTGAGCCACCATGAACAGCTGGCTTCAGCTCTGGCATTTGCCATCGGCTGGCTGCCAGCAGTTCGTGGACCAGCAGATGGGAACTGCTGGCCTAGACAGACAAGGGCCTAACTGAATGGAGCACAAAGCCCAATGGTCCCACCTATAGGTCTGATTCACTTAATGGATTGTGTTGGTGCAAGATGACACAACCCAGTCTCTCAGTTGTTGACAATTTAAAGAGTGCAGTGTCATGAATGGCCAGCGAACACTGCTACACTCAGGAGCCTGGGAGTGGGCCAGCACAGCCCAAAAGTGGTTTGGGATAGGAGTAGGCCTTCTGGAGAAGTGCTGATTCAGCTTCTTTCACAGGCATCTTCTAGTAGTGTGCCTCTGGTGGAGGTCTAGCTGGATAGTTAAGCTATCCTTCCACCTCCTGCTCAGCAGCACCCATCAGCACAGGAGGTTGCAAGTTGCTAAGCCATAGTTATCTCCTCATTCAGTGAAGGGTCCTGTAACAATTGGTTAAGTGGGGGCACTGAGAGCCATGGAATCAAACTGTATACCTTGAATATAATGAATACTATTTCAAGTTAAGGGGTATTTCAGCACCCCCACACTCCTAGTTCCAGCACCTATTCATTCAGTCCTTATAAAAGGAGGCAAACAATCCATGTTTTAACTATGGAATTCTTTCAAAATATGCATGACTTGAGGACATGGGCATCAAGTGAAAGGCCAGCTGGAGAAGGCAAGTCCCAGCCCTGCTCCCTTCCACCCAAGGCCCCGCCCCTTCTGCCCAAGGCTTCTGGATCATGTGGAGAGTCGCAGCTGCCATGCTGTGGCCCCGGCTCGGCTCTCCTTGGTGGCCGGAGGAAGCTGGCTGCTGAGCTGTGGCCCCATCCCTCCCTGGTGGCCAGGAAAAGTTGGACTGCTGTGCAGCTGAGCTGGGCTGCCTTTCCCGGCAGCTGGACAGAACCAGGCTGCTGCTCCACAGTCCCAGCCTTTCCTGGCAGCAGCCACAGCATTAGGCAGTTGGTCGAGTAGGCAATTTTGGGAAGGCTCTGCCTTCCCTTGCCTACATTACTGACCACCCATAGTTGGGGGATCATATTTAATTCTCCTCACTCCTTCTCTTGGTAAGATTCAGGAAGGCTAAAAAAGTCCCTCTCACCATTTTAAATTAATTTTTCCTAGTTAAATTTAATTCAGCTCAAAAAGTGATCAACACTCTCTACCTTTTTAAAAATTATGGATGGAAATCAGGATGTCTGAATTCAAATAGTCTAATTTTGCTCACAGGTATAGGTAGCCCATTTGGTAAAACAGAAGCTGCACATTCATATGAAGACAGAATTCAGCCTTACATTTTAATGTACAGTTCTACATCAGGGGCGGGTTACCTCAGGCTGGATGAAGCCCCTGGCTTGCCTAGATCCAGCATCCAAGGCACAAGGGCTGGAGCACACAAAATCTACTACGCTGGGCCTTTTTTTTTTCTTTTTTGTGCTTCTCTTTTGTGTGTGACCCCCGACCCAGAAAAGGTTCCTCACTCCTGTTCTACATATAAGCAAAGGTTGTCAGTGGCTGACTGGAAACAGCTTAGAGAGGCCATTCCCTTAGTGGAACATATAGTATTTCCTCTTCATGACCCCAATTCGGGGAAGCATCTCTTTTCAGGAAAGTGCTTGAGTTTGTGCTTAATAATCTCACTGACTTTAATGGGATTTAAACATGTTCTTAAACTTACAGAATTAATTATTCTAAATGGGGTGGATTAAAGCATATGCTTTCCTGAATGTGGGCCTAATTAAGAGTCCATATGTGATTAGCGATGGCCCACTCACTACACTTCAAGCCAGATTCTGCCATTCTTACTCACGCTGAGTACTACTTTACTCCTCAAATAGACCCATTGAAATGATGACATTGAGCAGGCTTATTGGTTTGTATCTTAAAGAGCATATGACTATATAAAAACATTCAGCACATTCAAACCTGACAACTCCAAATACTCTTACTGCCAGTTGAGTAACATGCTTAAATGCTAGGCCAGCGCTTAACCTCATATAGGCCACGTCTACACCACTGAGCTATTTTGGGATATCTCCGGTATTCCAAAATAGCTATTCCATATCTTAAGAGCAAGCCCGTTATTTTGAAATATAACGGTCTCGCTATTCCGACGTCCCTGTAAACCTCATTGCACGAGGGCTAAGGGATGTTTCAGAATAGCATTTTATTTTGAAATGTGGTGCTATGTAGCGCCAAATTTTGAAATAAGCTATTTTGAAATGACCTCGAAATAACATATGCAATTCTATGCAGATGCACCCATAGAAAGTTAATTATTTTACGCTATAACAGAAGACATAATTACAGGATATTGAAAATAATAATCTCTCATAAGTATATAAAATAGTGAAAGTAAAAGTGAGGCTAAATTAATCTATTAATATTACCCAGTGGCATCCATTAAAAGACAAAGCAATGTGTGAAATAACAGTTTCCCCTGTGGTCCCACATCTTTTTGGCAAATACATTTAAAGACTGCACAGATTTGTTTATGATAGACTAGAAGACTTTCTCAGCATTGTCCAGGTCCTTCGGGATAGGGGGTTGGTGGTGTGAGGGATGCAGGCGTCAGGGCAGGGCCTTGGAGATGTGAGGGGGGGGGGGCAGGAGGCTGGAGATGTGGGAGGTGTGAGAGTTGGGTGGGAGAAGGGTCTCAGAATGGGGAGGGGTCCCATCTAGTGGAGCTTTCTCTTCTTCCTCCAGCTGACGGGGCCTTCTCTCCTCCCCAGCCCTGTTGGCTGGCATGGGCATTTTTTCTCCCCTCCTCCCGCCCATCGAGCTCCCCCACCCGCCTTCCAGATTTCACTCTGCAATTTCACATCCCTCCTTTCTCATCCCCATGGAAAATAGTCCCATTCCCAGCACTTCCCATTTTCTTATCACAACCAAACCCTGACCTTGCTTTAAGTTAGGATAAGAGGAAGATGCATACCAAATTTGGAGGCCCTAGCTCTTACCATTTAGGGGGAGTTCTTGAATAAACAGATTCGCAGCCAGACACACAGACAAGACAGATGGATTGACAGACACACAAATCAATCGATCGATAGATAATGACATCTACCCTAAATTCATTATAATTTTGTAAATGTTTACAATGGATTTTCAGGGACAAATTATCTTCTCAGTTATACCCCATCAACCTCATCAGGTTGAACAGGTATAGTGGAAGTGGAATTTGTCTCAAAGTGTTTTAGAAAACAAGATATGAGGGCAAGATTTGAGGACAGATTTGATTTCTATAATCCTGCCCTTTCCCTATTTGTCTTCCATTGTCAAGTTTCATATTACCTCCCAACTCTGTGCTCTGCCAGCACTCCCAACTTTGCCCATTTCCCAACTTTCTACAACCTGTCTTCTTCCTCGTGACCTCCTAAGTGCACTATGCTCCTTTGGATTAATCCTCACAGGCCATACTGTCCACATTTAAAGATTAATTTCTGCCATGTTGCTTATAGTGAATTAAACCAACTTTATTTACATTTTACATAGTTTGCTTTTTTGTTGTTGTTCCCATTCCTTTTCTCCTAATCTCTATATACTTGTTTGTCCTTGTAAATGCCTTGGAACATAGACTGTTCTTTTTGAGTGTTTTGAAGCAACCTAAAATAATCTGGCAGGTAATTGTAATGATGCAGCATAGTCTTAAAGAGAAAAGCTTCACTTTACATCAAAATCTATGAGATTAGTCATTATTTTGAAAAAGAAAAACACATTAAGGGTCATTAGTTTATGAAACTTATGTCAAATTAGAAGTATTTAACTTACTTGAGGTTGGTATTTCATCTTATCTGCAAGATGCTTTCTTCTATTCTCTAATACTTGTTGTTGTATCCTTGCAACAAAGATTAAGACAAAATCTAAGAGATTTAAAGTTCTTGGCTAAAATTTTCAAAGCAGACTTATGATTTTGGGTTCCTAACTTGAAACATCTTTAAAAGGCTTGCTTTTCAAACAGTCTTGAACAACCACCATGGTCCATCTGAAAATCTGGCTCCTTTAAGATGTTTTGAGTTGGGCATTAAAACACTGAGGCTTCTCCATGTTTCTAACTTTATAAACAAGAGTGTTACATACACCAAAATAAGATATACAGATCCAGCACATGGACATTAAAATAGATAGGTTACATGAGATTTTTTTGTCCAAAGCATCTTTCAGTTATGCATATTTGCGTCCATAAGTCAATTTCTTAAAGCATGTGTGTTAGAACTAGGTATGCATTTCTTGTTATTTTAAATTTGTAATGCACTTTGCTTTGCCTGTTTTCACTTGCAACCACTTAAATCCTTCTATTTGTACTTAATAAAATACTTTTATTTACTATCAATAAATGTTAAATAAATGTTAACTGGGGGAGCAATCAGTATGTACATTCCCCCTTTCACTGTTAAAGGGGGTTATCTGAACAATTTATTTGGGGTTCTGATCCTACTGCGGGAGTCAGTTTCCTGAGTGCTGTACCCAAAACTGAATTCTCCTTGGACCTGAGGCCATTCAGTGTCTGCATTGCTCTTGGAGGCGGGGAGAGGGGGGGAGGGAGGAGGAGAGAATCTCAGCTCTGTGCCTTGGTTCCCCCTCTCCTCTCCTGTACAAACAATAAACCACACTTTGTTTGGAAACAATGGACTCTGTTTTTATTATTTGGATAAATGTAACTGGAGAGGGACTGGGGTAAGAACCATGGGGGGAGGGAGGGGAGAGAGAAGTGGAAAGGGGAAGAGAGGGGGAGGAGAGGCTCAGGGCTGGGGCTGAGAGTGACACCTGTGTCAGATCATGCCACTGCCTTGTGTGTGGGGCCCTTGGCGGCAATGGAGGGAGCTAGGGGGAGAAGGCAGAGGGGCGGGAGCCAGCGTGGAAGCAGTTGCCAGGCGGTCAATGACCGTGTAGAAGGCCATGCAGATGGATCGACCCTGCTGCAGCCACTCCTGCCAGGTGTCATGGTGCAGATGGAGGTTCTCCTCCAGTCTCCAATCCTGCTGGTCCATGGAGTGCTGCAGGGCTCACAGGGCAGTGATATGTTCCCTTTGGAGGTCCTTGTGGGCTCTCCAGTGCCAGCAGATCACACAGGGTCGGGAGGATGGCACTCACCTCCTGTAGCTGGTCCAGCTGTAGAGAACAAAGAGAAGGGCAGTCATCCATGTACAACTGAGCGATATGCTTCGAGCAAGGCCACCTGAGGCCTAGACAGTTGGCCCCTTCCTGCATGGGAAGGTGCGGGTCAGACTGGGAGCCTGAGGGCAGGAGTGGGGGCCCACAGGGTGGCGGGGCTTCCCTCCATGCCACGCACATACCGGGTCCAGCAGAGGCAGCGTTCCACAGGGACAGGATTTGTATCCCTGTCCGCTGGAGGGGAGGACGGTGTTGGGGAGAGGTGTGTGTGAGCAACAGATGCTCCTCCGCCTCTCTGTGCTGTCCCCGGGAATGGATGCTGCCCCGAGAGTGTGGGCATGATTGTGTGTAGCACTCCTGAGTGTGTGTGTGTGTGTCTGCACGTTCCCAGCCTCCTTCTAGTGGTGTCTTGTGGTGGGTGTTCCACCCTGGTGTCGGGAATACTGCAGGCCTCTCCAGACACCCTGGCTACGTCTACACTGGCATCCCTTCCGGAAAAGGGATGCTAATGTAGCACATCAGAATAGCAAAATCCGCGGGGGATTTAAATATCCCCCGCGGTATTTGCATTAACATGGCTGCCGCTTTTTTCCGGCTTGGGGATAAGCCGGAGAAAAGTGCCAGTATAGACATGATTCTCCGAAAAATAAACCCTTTTTCGGAGGATCTTTTATTATTTTTAAGATGTTTAAGCCTTTTTAAGATGTTTAAAGTTAGGAACCCTACTTTCAAGTAGGAATAAAAGATCCTCCGGAAAAGGGTTTATTTTCCGGAGAATCACGTCTAGACTGGCGCTTTTCTCCAGCTTATCCCCAAGCCAGAAAAAAGCGGCAGCCATGTTAATGCAAATACCGCGGGGGATATTTAAATCCCCCGCGGATTTTGCTATTCCGATGTGTCTAATCTGCATCCCTTTTCTGGAAAAGGGGTGCAGTGTAGACACAGCCCCTGAGAGCTGCAGCACAAGGGTCCTCTTTTGCTGCCTCCTGGGGCTGTGTGGCCCAGACTGGCACTCCATGTGCACAGGTTGCTGCATGATCCCCAGGCCAAGAAGGCTGAGCGAGGAGCACACAGCTGACCCTCGCCACCTCCACCCGGGTGTGTTTAGGGAATATAATGGCACTCACCTGAGGGGCCTTTCCCAGCTTTGGATGGTGCCTGGGGGCCATCCTGGGAGGTGAGTACCGGCTCCTGGGTGAGCCTGACCTCCTGGCTGGCAGGCATCAAGCTGGTGCTGACCTCATCCAGCTCTTCCTCTTCCTCTTCCTCTTCCTCCACACCGGCTCTGCTCCCTAGGAGAGTAACAATGGGTGTCTCCCGTCCCGAGTCCACAACAAGGGGGGAGGAAGGTACAGACCACTCCCCCACGATGTGGTGGAGGTGGGTGTAGCAAGAGCAGGCCTGCAATGCTGCCCCAGAGCAGGAGCTGCACTCCCTAGCATTGGCATAGGCCTGCCTTAGTTCTTTTATTTCCATGCGCACTTGCTCTTGGGTGTGCATGTGGCCCTTATTGGCCAGGCTATCGGCCATCTGGCCATAGAAATCCACACTTCTGTATCTGGGGTGGAGATCCTGAAGATTTGTCTTCTCTCCCCAGACTTCAATGAAGTCCAGGATTTCTTAACCAGACCTGGAAAGCGTACACCTCTTCCTTTCCTGGGCAGAATCCTCAGAGCTACCTGCCGGCTCCCTTGTAGCCATGGAGGGCTCAGTCAGAGCAATTGGGTCACACATGGTGGCAGAAAGCACTGGTCTGGCATCTTCTGTGTGGCTCAGAGTTGTCAGGGCCTGCTGTGTGCCACACACTGTTTCCCCTGGGGCTTAAAGGGCTGCAGAGGAAGGGAAGTTATAGCGTTCTGATTCGTGTGGACAGACTGGGATTTCCAAAAACCTATGGTATTTCCTGGAGGCCTTTTATTTCAAAATAACTCCAGCTACCCTGTTTACACATGCCCTATTCTGAAATAGCTATTTTGGAATAGGCGCTATTCCTCGCAGAACGGGAGTTACAGAATTCAGAATAAGACATCCTTTATTTTGAAATTATTTTGAAATAACGGGCTTGCTGTGTAGACACTCACTTTATTTTGAGATAATGCTGCTGTGTAGATATGCCTCTCTTGTTTGTATATCCAAGGGTTGCATTAGAGCCTTTTGCCACATCACACTAGGAGCTTATGTTGAGCTGTTTGTCTCTATGACTTCAACATCCTTTTTAGTGTCACTGCTTACCGTGATACAGTTGCCTATTATGTAATTATGAGTGACTTGCACTTATTTGGAGTGTTGCTGGATTATCAGCAGCTGGTAAAAAAAAAGTCACATGACAACAGTGTTTTCCATCTTTTTCTCCAATTAGGAGGTTACAACTATTTATTTTGGATGCAGACCTTGCTACTTTGATCTTTGTCAACTCAACATTAGATGACTGCAGTGTGTTACATATAGGGTCACATCTTACAAAAAAGAAGAAACTGCTACAGAATCCAGCAGCCTAATTTTTAAGGAACGTATCTTGCTGAAAGAACATGGCACAATTGCTCTAGGATCTGCAAAGCCTGTCCATAGGTTGCAGGTAAAATGTCAAGTTTGGGATTTGATTGAAATAGCTTGTCATCTACTACATATGTGAGAGCCTGCTTCTCTTCCAGAGCTATACTGCCACACCAATCAGAAAAGGTGTTCCATTTCAGTTTTAAAAAAAAAAGTGGGGGATGTGGCCCACGGTGCGGTTTGGGTTTACACGGGGCTGAACATGCGACCTGTGGGTGGGAGCCAAAACAAAAAAGTAGTCAATATAATTCTGTTGATATGCATTTTAGTAGTTAATTTCCTGGACAGTCATTGCTCATTAAAAATGCTGTCATATGGGTCGAAATCAGGTAAATATTGCATTTTATTAATATTAGCAGAACTGACTTAAATGGGGCCTGCGTGTTGTGTGGTCTTGCCTTAATCTTTGTATTCATGCCTATCAGTGTGAAAATCTATTTGCATATATATATTTTCATGCATATGAAACCACACTTCAGTTTCAGAGGGGTAGCCGTGTTCATCAGATGCAAGTTTTGCAGATCCAGACTAAGTGGGACTTTGCCCACGAAAGCTCATGCTACAATAAATCTGTTATTCTATAAGGTGCCACAGGACTCCTCGTGGCTTTCACACTTAAGTTGCAGTCCTCAGCGTGTGCTGTGAATATCATTGTGGCCCGTGGGGCTTCCTAAGTTGAGTAGCCCTGATCTATGTATTTAGCCAGACTTTGGGGGAGGCAGCCACTGGAGCATGAGAAAGGCTGGGAGGGTGGATTGAGTTTCTAAAGGGCTAGTTAGTTTTTAGTTGGATTGTGAAAGTTGCTGGTTTTACTCTTGTTCTAATTGTATTTTTCAGCTTTGCAAAAAGTGCCTGAATCCCAAGACTGGTACTTTTAATATACATTTTTATCAATCAAAAGGAAGAAAGAAATGGCATCATGGCGCTCTTATATTTGATGAACTTCAAGAACATTTGACTAATGTACATAATTATTCCAGTACCTGTTTTGCATGTCAACTAGTCCTGTTTTAGATGATGTAGGTTGTGGTGACATGGGAAGTTCTATATTGTGTCTCCTGATAGGAGTTTTTAACTCCCTGTTCATATCCACATGGACTGGTTTTCGCACTCTGTCTGTAATGTAAGAGTTTATAATGTTAGTATCTGTATCAGAGAGATTTGAGATTTCTAAATTTTAATAAGAATGCAGAACCCAACTTTCACTCTACATAATCAATACAAAATACATATGTTTTGTTTTATTTGCTACTATCACTATCTGAACTGTTTATTATTAACTCTATTTACAGTCTCCATTTACGAGCACTGAAAGGCTCTATTGTGTTTCTGATTTAGTTTGAGGGCTAAGGTGTTCTGCTAGCCCAAGAAAACACTTGAAAGGCAAGGCCTCTAGAGTATGAGTCATTCAAAATGTATTGCAGGGCAAAAGGTAAGATTCAGTACATGTGTAGATGTTATTGAGGAGATCAGTGAAAGAAATGGATTTTGAGGCGGGATAGTTTAAGAAAAAAGACCACAAAGAACAAAAAAGGGAAGTATGATGAAACAAGTGCAGCTACTTAGCCAGGTGCAGAGCTGTGCACAGCCTTGAAGGTGATATTATGATATTAGTCAAGATGACTGATTTCCCATTTTGTCCTCTGACTTTTTTGCATGGTTGTTGTTTTCACTATCTTTAATTAACAGCTAACTAAAAATGTGAACTATTGAAACTACAAATTATAATCTCACAAGAGGGTACAGAAGAATTGAGGCAGGAGCAGATATTAGTTACAGTAAATACATATTCCAATTGTAAAGTGTATTGGACTCACCAGCAGGGTCTTTCTTGGTGGATATCTGGTTAACAACATACAGGTTGAGAAGATCTAAACTGACGGCTGAACTTTTGGGGGGTGATGATACTCCTAGCAGCTTCATCTTTGATCTGAGCTTTTTCTTTTCAAAGAATTCCTATAATTTTCAAAAGACAAAAAATAAACTGCTTGCTATGTTTAAACTCCAGAGCACCATAGCAGTATAGGTTGCACATATTCATGATTAGCTGTCCAATTCACTTTAATATCCATGAAATCACATGGCTGAACTTCTATAACAAAAATCTAGCATTTACATTCACTTCCCTTTCTTTTAAAAAGGTTATTTATTGTACAAATATTATTTGATATTTTTAAAGAATGATGGTGCTTCTGATGGGAAAATTCAGTCCCTAAAATTTCACAGTTTCAAACTTCACCTATTAACAAATGAAAACCTTTGTATGATTTTTTTGAATGTGTCGAATTCCTCTGTTCTTACAGTTACAGCCACCCTCTCTCCCTCCCTACTTTCTTGCCTAATGTTTGATATTTCCTCTGCTTATATCAAGGCACTCAGTGTACATTAGAAGCCAGAAACAAGTACTTACATTCTTTAGCTATTAGTTGAAATGACCAAATATTTTAGGATTCTAAATCTGCAAGTCATTCTTGCAGTCATATTGGCATAACTGACGTATTTTAAAGGGTAAGAAATTATTAAAACTTTGCATTACTCTTATACATAGAAATACACACACAAATAACAATTAAAAATCAGGAATTCAGCCTGAGGCTCTCCTAGATAAAATATTTTGTCTTCAAAAGTTATTCTGAACATATGCATACTAGTCCAGATCCATAGTGCTGTACCTCATTTCAGCTACTTTGAAAAATTATCAGTACATGAAAGCAATGTTGAACTTCTTAGTTTTGTACAATAGATTATAAAAATAGCTATAAACATTTACCTTTTGCTTCCTCCTTTCTTGTTTAAGTATGATTCTGCTCCTAAAAGATGGCAAATAGGTAATTAGCGCTTCAAAAATGGATTACTGTTTATGTGTAGAGTGTAGTTTGAAGTTGAGACATGGGAAGGTAGAACTCTAATTCCAAATACAGTAAAACTACTGGGAGCTAAATATGTAAACCCTCGCATGTGAAGCAGAAATAGTGGGCCAGTCCTCAGATAGCTAAAATGGACTAGAACTATGCTGACTCATACTATGTCTGTTTACACCAACTGCGGATTTGGCCATTTTATCTAAATCAGGACTACTAAATACACTGTGCATCCTTCAAGTCCAAACCTTTAAGTGACTAACCAGCAATGTAATTATCTATTTTTAAATCCAGAGAATAACAAGAAATTTTTGACAATATTTTTCAACAGCACATTTTCTGCTTTTATTCCACGCTCAACCATAGTACACTTGCTATAATAGCAAGGAAAAACAAAAGCTAATATATATAACTCAAATTCTGCACCACTGTAGATTATAACCCACATTTTTCCATTAATGTGCAGATTCTTTCCATCCATGTGTGGAATCATAGAATACTAGGACTGGAAAGGACTTCAAGAGGTCATTGAGTCCAGTCCCCTGCCCTCATGGCAGGGCCCAGTACTGTCTAGACCATCCCTGATAGACATTTATCTAACCTACTCTTAAATATCTCCACAGATGGAGAGTCCACAACCTCCCTGGGCAATTTATTCCCGTGTTTAACCACCCTGACAGTTAGGAACTTTTTCCTAACATCCAACCTAAACCTCCCTTGCTGCACTTTAAGCCCATTGCTTCTTATTCTATCCTCAGAGGCCAAGATGAACAAGTTTTCTCCCTCGTCCTTATGACACCCTTTTAGATATCTGAAAACAGCTATTATGTCCCCCCTCAATCTTCTCTTTTCCAAACTAAACAAACCCAGTTCTTTCAGCCTTCCTTCATAGGTCATGTTCTCTAGACCTTTAATCATTCTTGTTGCTCTTCTCTGGACCCTCTCCAATTTATCCACATCTTTCTTGAAATGCGGTGCCCAGAACTGGACACAATACTCCAACTGAGGCCTAACCAGCACAGAGTAGAGCGGAAGAATGACTTCTCATGTCTTGCTCACAACACACCTGTTAATGCATCCCAGAATCCTGTTTGCTTTTTTTGAAACAGCATCACACTGTTGACTCATATTTAGCTTGTGGTCCACTATAACCCCTAGATCCCTTTCTGCTGTACTCCTTCCTAGACAGTTGCTTCCCATTCTGTATGTGTGAAACTGATTCGTTCCTTCCTTAGTGAAGTACTTTGCATTTGTCTTTATTAAACTTCATCCTGTTTACCTCAGACCATTTCTCCAATTTGTCCAGATCATTTTGAATGATGACCCTATCCTCCAAAGCAGTCGCAACCCCTCCCAGCTTGGTATCATCTGCAAACTTAATAAGTGTACTTTCAATGCCACTATCTAAATAGTTGATGAAGATGTTGAACAGAGCCGGTCCCAAAACAGACCCCTACAGAACCCCACTTTCCAGCAGGATTGAGAACCATTAATAACTACTCTCTGATTATGGTTATATATGCGGCGGCATTCTGGTTGTGTGGTAGTAGCAATTTGTTTATCAGTCTCTGGAAGGTGACAGCTACCACATGCAGTCCAAATGGCATGGTAATAAACTGGTAGAGACCAAAGGGTGTGGGGAAGGCAGAGAACAAAGGGTGTGAGGAACCCTCACCCTGGAGTTAGGTGTGAGGGTTATTTGTCAGTATCCTTTGGTCAAATTGATGGTAGATAAGTACCTGGCCCCTCCTAGTCACTCCAGCAGTTCTTCGACCCATGGCATTGGGTGAGCATTGAAACAGGATACAGAATTGAATTTTCGGAAATCAATGCAGAACCTGATGGCTCCGTCGGGTTTTGCACAGGACAATAGGACTCCTCCACTCACTCTGTGATTCTTCAATCGTGCCCATCTTGAGCATTGTCTTAAGTTCCTGTTTGACTGCATCCCACATCTTCTTTAGTAGGGGCCAATGACTGTCTCTCACCTTCTGTCCTGGTTTTGTTGCAATGGTGGTGATCCAGATTCGTCCATCATGACCAGGTGGACAAGACATCTTAGAAGGTCCCTAGAAGTTCTTGCACCGGGTTCCATTGTTTGGGGTTGAGGCCCTCCCCCAACTCTGCTTGTTTCGGGTCTTGAGGTTCACCTGCCAAAGGACCTACCTCTGATTTGGGGGGGAGGAGCTGGACCAATAAGCACGGCCTCTTGTGTCTTCCAGGCTTTCAACAGATTCACATGGTAGGTGTGCACCTCCTTCCTACATCCTGGCAGCCTCACCTCATAGTCTTTCAGTCTTATATGCCCCACCACTTCAAAGGGCCCTGCCACTTGGCCAGGAACTTCAACTCAGTTGAGGGTAACAGTAGCAATACCTGGTCTCCTGGTTCAAAGCTACAGACTGTAGCCCCTGGTTATACTTTTTTTCTGTAATTGTTGACCCTGTATTAGGTTCTTTCATGCAAAGGCACTTAATATCTGAATCCACTCTCAGGGTATGTCTACACTACCCCGCTAGTTCGGACTAGCGGGGGAATGTATGCATACCGAACTTGCTAATGAAGCCCGGGAAATTCAAATCTCGGGCTTCATTAGCAAGCTCGGTATGCATACATTACCCCGCTAGTTCGAACTAGCGGGGGAATGTATGCATACCGAACTTGCTAATGAAGCCCGGGAAATTCAAATCTCGGGCTTCATTAGCAAGCTCGGTATGCATACATTACCCCGCTAGTTCGAACTAGCGGGGGAATGTATGCATACCGAACTTGCTAATGAAGCCCGGGAAATTCAAATCTCGGGCTTCATTAGCAAGCTCGGTATGCATACATTACCCCGCTAGTTCGAACTAGCGGGGGAGTGTAGACATACCCTCAGAGACATAACATGTATTGGATGGTGCTGAGCACCTGAGTCTCCTGAGCCTCCCAGTCCTTCCTAACACTCCTAGTATACCCCTGGGCAGTCTCCTGTAGAGAAGCTCAAAGGCTTGGGAAAACCCTCTTGAGGCTTGGGAAACCTCTTATAGAGAAGAGAAGGGCTGGAAGGAGCATGTCCCAGTGTTGTGGGTCATCTTCTACAAACTTATGTAGCATCAATTTGAGGGTGCCATTAAATCATTCCATGAGTTCATCTATCTGGGGGTTTGCTGAGAGGTGCGATCCCCTCGAGCGAGGTCCAGTGGTCGAAATCCACCCATGGGCCCACTTGTCAGGTCCGCACAGCACAAAGGCCAGTATCTGAGTCCCCTCAGCGCACCCCCCGTTGGGTCTATATAGCCCTATGGCCTAGTCCTTGGAGTGCCCCTCGACTGGGGTCAATATGGCACTGAGGCCTAGTCCCTATAGTATGCCCCTCTATTGGGATCAATACGGCTCTGAGGCCTAGTCCTTGGCTTCCAGAGCTACTGTTGCTTAGGAGCGCTGCAGCAGGAGGGGTTGGGGGACCTCGGCCCTCCCACTCCACTGGGTCCCAGCCCAGGGCCCTATTGGCAGTGGCTCGGGCCACTGCTCGCTCAGCAGGGGTTCCTCCCCACAACATGCTGGGCAGTCAGGTATTAATTCCCCACCCTGAGCCACTTCCTACCACCCTGCGTGTCTCTCTGCTGCCGTACTTCCAGCCTGTCTCCAGGGCCGTGGCTGTGGCAGCTGCTGTTGGGGCTGCAGCGGCTGCTGAGTTGGCTCAGGCTGCATTGGCTCTTTGGGTTCTGGAGCTGGCTCTGCAGGTCCTTCCCCTTCAGCGGTTAGCCCTGAGTGAGCTGTCTCAGGGCCTTTTATACCCCTGATCACCAGTGAGCATGCCCGACAAGGCTGTGGGAGAGGGCCCAATCCACAATCTGTTCTATAGTGCGGGGACAATGTACCTCGTCACAGGGTGATATACTGATGTCAGGAGGGTTTGAATGTGCATTAACTAACACAACTGTAATTAGCTTGGATGAGACTTTGGGACCCTGATTCATCAAGATTTCTTGGTGAATCTTAGCAAATACCTTCACCAACTCATTTGTGATATTCTTCATGGTAGCTACTCAAAGTGACACAGCTTCAAGATACCAGGTCTCATAATCTATCACCAGGATGAATCAGTTTCCCATCTTGCTCTTCTCCAATGGTTCAACAAGGTCCATTCTGAACTGCTCAAATGGTACACCTACTGGTAGAAGTATGAGGGGGGCTTTGGGTGTGCCCTTAGGCCCAGCTCATTGGCATTCTGGGCATGAAACACAATAGTCTTGGTGTATACCAGACCAAAAGAACTGGTGTGCCACTCATTGTAGGGTCTTTTCCCAGCCTAGTTGTCCAGCCCAGGGAGTGGTATGTGCCAAATGTAGGAGACTCTGGCATAGCCTCCAAGAGACTAGTAAATGATGTATCTCCTCCCATGTCTGGGGTCTGCCACCACTCGATACAGTCCGTCTTTCTGGATCTCAAAGCATGGCCCCTGCAGGCATCTTGCCTCCTTTGTTTCTTCTGGGTCATGGACCTTAGTCTGCTACCACACCTAGCCAGGGTTTGGTTTTCCCTTTGTTCTCTCAGGAAGTCTACGTCTCTCCAGCTCTACCTGGATGTCCTCCTCTGGCATGTCTTCACCTGCATCCGGCTATCATGGACCCTGGATGATTAGAGGCACCTTCTTGAGAGTCTGTCTCCATGGGAAGCCCCAGTATCCTCTCTTCTGTAGCCCTAGGTTGCCACTTTCTTTTAGGGCAATAGTTGCACTCCCTCATGATCTCTTGAAACATGGGGCAATCCCATCCTAACACCACTGGGCAGGTCAGCTGGGGTGCCACACCTATCAAGATGAACTCCCTTTGGCCCCAGACCTAGAAGTTTACATGGGCGATCAGGTAGGGACATGTGTCTCTGTGGATATATTAGAGATTGAGCAGCTCATCAGCTAGCTGGAGGTCTGGCATCAGGCATTCCCGAATAATGGTCTGGTTGCAACTGGAGTCCACCAGAGCGGTAGCCTTCATGCCTTCCACTACCACAGGGATTACCAATTTTCTGGATTGGGGTTCCTATGCCCAATGCCCAGCCACCCAGACCTGTCCACAGTTGCAATCCATGTAGCGACAGTCTTTCTGGAGGTGTCCTCCTTGGCCACACTTCCAACAACCATCTTGGGGGGCCTGTGGATCGTGACTCATCCTGGGGTGGGCTTCTCTCCCCTTGTGGAGGTCTTTCTTTTCCTGTGGTATCGTGGGTCTCCACTCTTTGGTGTTCTGTCCTGTGAGTTTCGGCCTGCTGGGTGTAATAGGTGTGGGGGGGCTCCAATGGTTCTGTCCTCCATGGTATCCCTCACCCCCGGACCCTCTCATCTCCTTAAGCTCTCTTCCTCTAGAGTTTAGCCTCTGGTTTCTTCTGCTTGTAGGTAATCCTCCATGAAGCTTACTGCAGCCGTCAGCGTGACTGGCCAATGTTGCTGCACCCACCCCTTGGTTCCTGTGTGGAGTACCTGTATGAACTGCTCCAGGGCTACTGTCTCTGTGACTTGGGGTCCGGTTAAGCCCTCCGGGTTAAGCCACTTCAAGTCACTTGTGGCCAGGCCCCAGCGAGGTACCCTTCCTTGCGCAGCCTCTGCCGGTACATCTCTGGGCTGATACTGGTTCTATCTAAAATGGCCGCCTTCACCCGTGGTTACTCCAGTGCTTCTTGGGAATGTAGATTGTGATATGTGGTCTACGCTGGCCCCATTAGGTAAGGGGCGAATATGGTAGCCTAGTGTTCTGGGGCCAACAAGCAGCCATAGCAACCCGTTTCAAGGTAACTAAAAATGCCTCAGGTCATCCTCTGGCCCCATTTTTGTTAGCCAAATGGGCAGTCCTAGTCCGGTATCTCCTGTCCCTGTGTCCATGGCAACAGGGTTTGGTGGACCTGTTGGCTGTAGCAGTGCAGCTACCTGTTGAAGAGGACTTTCCTGCTGGGTCTGATCTCACTGAATACCTTCAGTTATTGCGCCATATGGAGCTGGTACTGGTGGGATAGTTGTAGGGATGTAAGTGGCTAATCGACTAGTCGACTATCCGATAAGCAAAAGCTTATGAGATAGTCAATAAATTGGTTGACTAGTCTCTTCCCTCCCGCGCTTGCTGCCTCTATCACAAAGATGTAGTGGGGCGGGGGGAGAGAAGCAGCTGCTGGGGGGAACTGGCTAAAAAGCCGGTCCCTCCCAGCTCCAGTTCTGTGGGACGGGGCAGGAGCACAGTGGTGGTGCTTCCTTCCATCAGGGGCTCTTGTATATTTCAAAAACTGAAACAGGCTCCATGCCGGGCTGGAGTTCTTGTAGATTTCAAAGCAGAAGTGCCCGCATGGAGCGCATGGGGGAATTCCCCACTGGACCCGGGCTCCACGTAGTGTTTCAATCTTTGAAATGCAAAAGAGCCCCTGCTGGGATTCTGGAATGTTTAAAAGGCGGAACGCATGCTAGTCCTACTGACTAATCAAATAGTCAATGGAAAACCCATCGACTATTTGATTAGTTAATTAATCAATATTTAACATCCCTAATTAGCTGCTATATCAGCTGCGCCTGCTGCTGTTGGTGCTGGGTTGCTTGCTGCTTCTGGTTTTCCACCACCCACTGTAGGAATTACTCCATATCCATTTCTTCATCAAACTACAGGAACAAAGAGAGGCTTCCTGTGCCACTCTTGCTACCTGGACCTCTCAGCAGATCCTGGAGTTTGTCCACGTTCTTCACCACGTGTCAGGGGTATACGCATCCCGTCCTTGGGTTTCAAGTATCCAGGCGTGTGGCCACTGCCTGGTTGTCTATCAGATTGCTGGCCGCCTCTCTTAGTCTATACAAACTGGTCTCTGTCTAGAGTAGTAGAGCCTAAAGGTTACAGTAAATAAGGTACGGCTCTTTATTTCAGGGTGGCACAGCCTACTGGCGAAAGACACAAATCAGGTAGCAGATATTAATAAAAGATTATAGTCAATTCAGGCTACAAAGGTTGCAGAATACAAAGTTTCAAACTTTTCAAAAGTTGCAAGAACAAAATGTGTTAATTAACATAAATCTATGACTGGTAATAACAATTTTAAAAATATAAAATATAAAAGTTAAAATGATCTGGAAAATAAAATCAGAAAGATAAAGTTTTTTTTAAAAATCTACTTTCATTTAATTTCATTTAAATGAATCTAATTTCATTTAAAATTAAGCCTAAAGATTTACAATGTGTCTTGGTCTATCAAATCTCTAAATGAGACAATTGGGCCTTTTGCACAATGACAATTTTAGAGAAATTGCATACCATTGCTCTTGTACCATTGCAGTTCCCAATGATAGGAGCTCTAGTGTAGAATAGCTGCCAGCATCATATCTTCAATATTTGCTAAAACAATGGTGGAAGAGTTCCCTAAAACTCTCACTCAATTTTTACTTCATCCTTCCCAAATACCATATGATTAGTCATGTTTTATTACAATACAGGCAGTCCCCGGGGTTACATGGATCCAACTTACATCGGATCCCTACTTACAAACGGGGTGAGGCAACCCTGCACTAGCTGCTTCCCCCCAGCAGACCAGGGAGACGCGAAGCTAGCGCCCCCCCCACAGCAGACCAGGGAGATGCAGAGTGGCTTTTCTCAGCAGACACCTCAGCTTGAGAATAAAGGACTGAGGGAAGTGAGGTGTGGGAGAATAAAACTGAGCTCTGGAGAAATGTTTGGCTAGAGTTTCCCCTACAATATGTACCAGGTCTGACTTACATACAAATTCAACTTAAGAACAAACCTACAGTCCCTATCTTGTACGTAACCCGGGGACTGCCTGTAGTTCCTAAGGAATATGGTAGAACATAATAGATAGAACACAAGATTCCTGCCTTAAAGAGGTTTCAATTTAAATATACACAACAGAGATGGGGTAGAACACACAAGCAGAGTGAACAATGCTGGGAGCAAACATTCACTTTGTGAGTGTGTGGAGGGAAGCGCTATAGCCTATATTAAGGGCAAAGAATCAGATGGCTATAATTAAACAAAATATATTTCAGTGACCAAAGCCCCTATCCTACAATGGGGCTTGATGTGGGCAGATGTGCACATGTGTCTGTGCGCAAAATCCCTTTACCGGGTTCAGACCTAAATTATTTAATTGTTTTTCTTCGATTTGTTTTCTGTTTGAATAAAAACATCTTATGAACTGAGAAAACATTGTCTCTGTCTAATAGGGAAACTGAGAGTAATAAATAAGGCTAGGGTTTTAGAAAGCACGTAATTATCTTGAAAATTTTACCCTAAAGCTATTAAGGTGTGGTAGATCGTCTTCTCAATCAGAAAGTGAAAGAAAGGAAGTCTATTTAAAGACATTTTATCTTTCTCTTCTGAGAATCTAAGATAAGAGAAACAAAGGGTGAATTTGCTAAAATTGGAGATTGGTCTTTAATTCAGGCTGCTATAAGTAAGGCACCATGTTCAGAGAAAGAAAATTTTCAGTGTGTTATCAAAACTGAAAATAGGTTGACAAAATACACAGACGTGCTCAATCCTGCACAGGTGCAAGAAAGGACTAGAAAGCCTAATAAATATTTGTCACCCCTAATTCCTGTTCTAAAATTATCCTGCACTAAAATTATCTTCTGTGAATGCATCCATTTTTTATATACAAATGTTAAATGCTGTCCTACTAAAAACTTTAAACAAGTACTAATAGACTGACACTAACTTAAAATTTTGTATAAAAGCCTCTTATGCTAATGATATTATGCTGCTGAACAAAATGGTTACTATTATGTCAAATAATACTTGTCCCAGTTACCAATGTACATACTTCATTTATGTAGTTAAGGAAATGTAGATCACGTGACACTCCAGTAACAAGACTTTCTGTTATGGCACTTTCGAGTTGTGACAGATTGAGAGAAGATACTTCTCTCATACATAGCCCTGCACTGCCCTAACAAAAAATAAAGGGGGAAGTGTGTGATGAAGCTCCTTCTGAATGGCCCACCTTTCCCAATTATGGGAAGAGACTCCTGAGAATAGCACAAATGAGGGGTGTGTGTTTGGGAGGCCAAGAAAGGGAGACCCCTTCACACAGACTGACCCTGTCAAGTTCAAAGTGCACAGCGCCGTACTATCTAGTGAGGAGGGCGAGGGGAGTGCATAGGCCCCATTATGTGTAGTCCCAAGCTTCCTGGTATGGGCTGTGGAAGTGTGTAGGCCCCATTGCAAACAGACTCAAGCAACCCAGTCTGTGGGGGAGGGATAGGGAAGTATGTAGGCCTCACGACACACAACCCCACGCTGAGCAGTCTGAGAGTGGGGGAAGTGTGTAAGCCCATCTTGTGCAGCCTCAGGCTCTCTGAGGTGGGGGTGGGGAGGAGAGAAATGTGTGGAGACAGCACACACAACCCTATGCTGCCAAGCACTGGAGGAAGTGTCTAGGCCCCATCTCACACAGGTCCAGGCTGCCCGCTCTGGGATGTGGGAGGAGAATCACGAAGGCCCCATTGCAAGTTGCTGAGTCAGTGCAGAAAGCGTGTAGGCCCCATTGCACACGGCTCCAGGCTGCCCACTCTGGGATGGGAACTGAGGCCTCAGGCTCTCTCGGGGCCTACTTGTGCCTTAACAACAAGGCCCTTGATGAACTTCACTTACCGGGAGCCACCAACCCAGTTCATTGTCCAAGAAAATGAGTGCTGGGGGCTTGGAGAGCTGCTGTGAGTCAGTGCAGAAAGCGTGTAGGCCCCATTGCACACGGCTCCAGGCTGCCCACTCTGGGATGGGAACTGAGGCCTCAGGCTCTCTCGGGGCCTACTTGTGCCTTAACAACAAGGCCCTTGATGAACTTCACTTACCGGGAGCCACCAACCCAGTTCATTGTCCAAGAAAATGAGTGCTGGGGGCTTGGAGAGCTGCTGGCAGAAGGTCTTCTGTAGTGACTGTTTGCGACCAGTGGGAGTCCTGCACTGACAGCAGGGAGGGAGCCTGTCCCTCCTCTTCCTCTCCCTGTGCTCTCCTGGCAGCGAGCCAGCATGGACTACTCCGAGGGGAGCAGGAGAGAGGAATTGTTAGCTGCCATGTGCACCAGGAGGAAAGGAATGTCACAGGTTTGGGGACCACAGGTTTGAGGCCCTGTCTCACAGGCTCTGAGACTGAGGAAGGCTAATGCGACGGGGCACAATGAGAAGAGGTGGACGGTTCCCAAGATTCTGTTCCTTTCCTGCCAACAAGCTACCATCTTCCCTTCCACACAGGCTGTCTCTGGTCCCCAAAGGTCTTTCCAAGTTTCCCCCCAAACCCCAAGATGTCCCTTGTTTGTCACATTGTTTCCAACTATTGTGCTTTTACTGTGAGTCAAGCAATATTTGGTGTTTTTTCTTAAAACCCAGATCTTGGCTTTGAATTTCCTTTATTGTAAATATAGATGTAACAATAGTAGATTAAAAAGTTTTCATACAAAAACAAGATTTTTAATTTGAGGTGTCCCTCTAACTATATCCATCATGAAGATTTTAAATGGATGTGTGTGTGTGTGTGTGTGCGCGCGCTTTTGTGTGTTACTTGAAATAGCCAATCTTTTTTATCTACATCTCCACCCAGTATAAATGCCTTATTTTCTATGATTGTGGCTATGGTGTAGTTGCAGGCCTGATACAAAAAGGCACCGCCTCACTGACTTTAAGACAACATATTTGCCATTATATGAGAGTTAAATTTTGTCTTAGAGGTTTGATATTTTCTATAACACTTTCATTTTTAAAGATTATAAGCAACTGTTTCACTTGTTTCATTACTGGATCTGACAGAAAAATTGCTTGAGGATTTAAATTACTTGATTACCTTTTAGTGTTGACATCCTCCTCCCCCAATTGAGACCAAAATGAAAAAGACTTTCAAACAAACTTAACATACGGAATCACATTTATCTCTAATGTAAACCCTGTAAAGTCAGTGAAGTAACAAAAGTATGCTTAGAATGAAGAACTGTAGTACAGTGTACATGACTGCACCGTATGCTTTACTCCAAGCATCTAAGAACTCCACAGGATTATTTCTGATCTGGTGAAGCCAAGTTAATTGTGGGTGATTGCATAGTCGCTGCCAGTCCATGACCAGGTAGTGTCCCCTTCTGACTTAAGTCCAATAGTCAGAGCTTAATGTAGTGAAGTAACACCCGGGATAAATCTGAGCCAGGATTTCTAATGTTTAAATAAGTTTTCATTGTCAACATATGAAAGCTTTTAGACAATGGACTCATTCAGGTATGGGACGATATCACACATGCAAGGCACTACTGTTCTTACTCATTTTTAGAGGGAAGAGATATTGAGTTTCATGATATTTTTTTCAATTGGCTTTCTTTGCAGCGAAGTGCAGAGCAAAGCTATTTCCTTTGTTCATGAAACTGAAATAACCCAACAGGAGAAACAGCCTTGAAGAATTCACGTATTTGGTATCATTTTTATAACCGCCTCATGAAACAACAGTTTCTGTCCTGCATTCCTTTGTCAAGCATTCCCTCTAACATTGTTCAGGAGTACCAGTACCAGAGGTACTTGCGTAGGAGAGGCACCATTATAAGGTTGCTGCTTTTCTTTGGGCACAATCAGGTCAACAATTTTTTGTTGAGGTGAGCACTGACAGAGTCTACAGCCTCTTCTCAGTAAGGACTCCAGCTCTGCTTTCCTTCAGCAGGGCTGACTCACATGGAGGAAAGTGAATTAGAACAGCTAATGTAAACCCCTGTATTTACTAACCAAAAGTAGATATATAAAAATTGAATTTTCAATTAGTGTATGAGAAATAAACTTTTCTCCATAATTATAAATTATTCTTGTGTCTCTTAGTAAGTCTTTTCATTTTATAGGAAAAAAAGGAATAGAGAATAAGACAGAGAATATCTTATTGCCTCTATATAAATCCATGGTACGCCCACATCTTGATTACTGTGTATAGAGGTGATCACCTCATGTCAAAAAAGATATATTGGCATTGGAAAAGATTCAGAAAAGGACCACAAAAATAATTAGGAGTATGGAACAGGTGCCATCTGAAGAGAGATTATAAGAGACTGGGACTTTCAGTTTAGAAAAGAGAAGAGCAAGGAGGGATATGATAGAGATCTATAAAATCATGACCCGTATAGAGAAAGGGTACGTCTAGACTACATGCCTCTGTCTCCAGAGGCATGTAGATTAGGCTATCCGACATAGTAAAATGAAGCGGCAATTTAAATAATCGCCGCTTCATTTAAATTTACATGGCTGCCGCGCTGAGCCGACAAACAGCTGATCAGCTGTTTGTTGGCTCAGTGCGATAGTCTGGACGCGCAGGTGTCAACATCAAAGGTATTTGTCGACCACCCAGGTATGCCTCCTGGAATGAGGTATACTTGGGTGGTCGACAAATACCTTTGATGTTGACACCTGCGCGTCCAGACTATCGCACTGAGCCAACAAACAGCTGATCAGCTGTTTGTCGGCTCAGCGCGGCAGCCATGTAAATTTAAATGAAGCGGCGATTATTTAAATTGCCGCTTCATTTTACTATGTCGGATAGCCTAATCTACATGCCTCTGGAGACAGAGGCATGTAGTCTAGACGTACCCTTTCTCTATACGGGTCATGATTTTATAGATCTCTATCATATCCCTCCTTGCTCTTCTCTTTTCTAAACTGAAAGTCCCAGTCTCTTATAATCTCTCTTCAGATGGCACCTGTTCCATACTCCTAATTATTTTTGTGGTCCTTTTCTGAATCTTTTCCAATGCCAATATATCTTTTTTGACATGAGGTGATCACCTCTATACACAGTAATCAAGATGTGGGCGTACCATGGATTTATATAGAGGCAATAAGATATTCTCTGTCTTATTCTCTATTCCTTTTTTTCCTATAAAATGAAAAGACTTACTAAGAGACAGGGATAGATAGTAACGGTGTCTCTAGCCTCTGGTTGTCAGAGGCTGGAAATGGATGTCAGGAGAGAGATCGGTTGATGGTTACCTGTTCTATTCATTCCCTCTGGGGTATCTGGCATTGGCCACTGTTGAAAGACAGGATACTGGGCTAGATGGACCTTTGGTCTGACCCAGTATGTTCTTATAGTCAGGACTCGCCAAGCGGCGGTGAGCCTTGCTCACCAGCCGCACGCTACCGCTTGCTGCACATGCACAGACTGGGCTAAAATCTACTTGCCACGGGCGAGTAGATTATATTAATTGTCGAGCCCAGCTTATAGTTACTTCCCAGCAAGTGATCTCAGAATGTGACTGGATATGGTAAACAAAGAGTGAGAGTCACAAAATGTCTTAGATGTTGCAACACTGAGAATCATAGAGCCTAACTTTGGACATCTAGAAAATGATAGGGATACACTGTGATCCAGAAAGCTGAGTTAGGCACCTTATAGAATGAATGGGGAGAAACAGGTACCTTAGAATGTGATCTCCAAAGCCACATTCTAGGCAAGAACCCATGTAAACTAGCCAGTGAGCAGTCTGGGGGGAAACCTCGGTGTCTCTCATGGAGATAGATGCCTATGCAGGAAGGCGGCTACCTCGGCTCAGGAACCAGCTGCCTGACTCCAACCTGCTTAGGCACCTAAGGCATTTCTTGCTGAAATTTTGTGTTCCACACAAAATGTCCAGAGGAGGAGGTTCCCACCTTATCTCTTTTAGCCCAATGGTTAGAACACTCACTGAGTTGTGGGAGACTCAATTTCAATTCTGCCACCACCACCACCCCAAGTGGGACAGAGGATTTGGACAGGGGCCTCTGACCTCTCAGTGGGAGCTCTAACAACTGTGTTAGTGAATATTGTGATATTGAGCTCCCTTAATCTCTCTTGAAGATGTTCTACAGCAGAATAATAATGAATGTGATCAGGGTATGGTTCCCTAACCACTGGACTACAGTCATTCTCCCTTTGTCTCTTTGGCCCAGAGACTTAGGGTACGTCTAGACTACATGCCTGTCGTCAGAGGCATGTAGATTAGGCTACCGGACATAGTAAAATGAAGCGGCGATTTAAATAATCGCCGCTTCATTTAAATTTACATGGCTGCCGCGCTGAGCGGACAAACAGCTAATCAGCTGTTTGTCGGCTCAGCGTGATAGTCTGGATGCGCAGGTGTCGACATCAAAGGTATTTGTCGACCACCTAGGTATGCCTCCTGGGATGAGGTTTACCTGGGTGGTCGACAAATACCTTTGATGTCGACACCTGCGCATCCAGACTATCACGCTGAGCCGACAAACAGCTGATTAGCTGTTTGTCCGCTCAGCGCGGCAGCCATGTAAATTTAAATGAAGCGGCGATTATTTAAATCGCCGCTTCATTTTACTATGTCCGGTAGCCTAATCTACATGCCTCTGACGACAGGCATGTAGTCTAGACGTACCCTAAGTCTCTGGGCCAAAGAGACAAAGGGAGAATGACTGTAGTCCAGTGGTTAGGGAACCATACCCTGATCACATTCATTATTATTCTGCTGTAGAACATCTTCAAGAGAGATTAAGGGAGCTCAATATCACAATATTCACTAACACAGTTGCGATTGGAGTTTAGGGTGCCTAAATACTTCTGTGGATCTAGGTAAATGTGTTTACTTAGCAAATGAATGTATGATAAAATCTGAAGACACTCAGAGCATAACTATTACTACTGAACTTTTGTGTGTGTTAATTTAACACATTTTATGCTGTTTGGCCATACGTTTCAGTCCTGTCATCAAATATTAGGCAATTAAACCCATGTTTAACTAAATAAAATGGGCCTAACTTTCAAAGGCACTGGGGATCTATACTTCTGTTGAATTATGTGAAGATTTGTTGGTATTTAGCTCTGCAGAAAATCAGGTCAGTAGTGATGGATGGCAGAACAGGGAACAATGGTCTCAAGTTACAGTAGGG